AAGTTCTTAGATGCAACACTGAAAGAGTATAAATAAAAGCAAAATTTATAAATTGGATTTATAAGCTTTTCTCTGTGAAAAGATACTGATCAGTGGGAAAACAAATCTCACTGACTGGGAGAAAATCATTGCAAATCACCTATGAAAGATTTCTTTCATCCAGAACTCAAAACTCAAAAATAAGAACAAAACGCAATTATAAAACGGGCAGATTTTAACAGATACTTCACCACAGAAGATTTAGTCATTACAAAAATGCAAATTAAAACCACAGTGAGATGGCACTATTCTCCGTTAGAATAACTGTAATTTAGAAAAATCACTAAGTGTTGGGAACTATGTAGAGCAGCTGAAACTCTGATACATTCCTTGTAGAAGTGCAAAATGATAGAGCCGCTCTGGGAAACAGGTTGGTGGTTTCCTATAAAGTTACTGTGTGACTCAGCAGTCTCTTCTGGATGGGTACCCAGGAGAAATGAAAGCTATGTTCATGGAAAAAAACCCGTATGTAAATGTTCATAACAACTTTATCTGTAATAACCAAAAACTATAAATGTCTTAAGTGTTCTTCAGCTGTTAAAAGAATAGACTGGGTGCAATGGTTTACACCTGTTATTTCAGCACTTTGGGAGGCCGAGGCGGGATAGGGGGGATCATTTGAGGTCAGGAGTTCAAGACCAGCCTGGCCAACATGTTGAAACCGCACCTCTACTAAAAATGTGAAAAATTAGCCAGGGCCTGGTGGTGGGTGCCTGTAGTCTCAGCTACTTGGGAACCTGAGGCAGGAGAATCGCTTGAACCCGGGAGGCAGAGGTTGCAGTGAGCTGAGATTGCACTACTGCACCCCGGCCTGGGTGACAGGAGCGAAAACTCCATCTTCAAAAAAAGAAAGGATGAACTATGGTACATCCATATAGTAAAATCTATTCAGCAATAAAAAGGGACAAACCATATGCATCATGCTAAATGAAATATCTAGACTCAAAGGATACATGCTCTGTTATTTCATTTATATGAAGTTCTAGAAGAAGTGAACTATAGGACAGAGAACAGATCACTGCTTACCGAGGATGAAGACTGGAGGTGGGTTTTGATTGCACAGTAACAGCACAAGAGAATTTGGCTGGGTTGTGGACTTGTTCTTTAAGTGGCAGCAAGGACTGAGTAGTGGATTGAGTACAGCAAGCAGACTCAAAGAATTTGCTATAGAAGGCCAGGCGCTGTGATTCGTGCCTGTAATCCCAGCACTTTGGGAAGCCGAGGCAGGCAGATCACAAGGTGAAGAGGTTGAGACCATCCTGGCCATCACGATGAAACCCCATCTCTACTAAAAATACAAAAATTATCTGGGCGTGGTGGTGTGCGCCTGGAGTCCTAGCTACTTGGGAGGCTGAGGCAGGAGAATCACTTGAACCCGGGAGGCGGAGGTTGCAGTGAGCTGAGATTGTGCCTCTGCACTCCAGTCTGGTGACAGAATGTGACTCTGTCTCAAAAAAAAAAAAAAAAAAAGAATTTGCTATAGAAGTGTAAATTGTCTCATTATAACTCAACGGTAAAAAGAAAATATATATATAAATTGGTACAATCATTTTTGAGAGCTATTTCGCATACTCTGGTAAAGTTGAAAATGGTCGTATACTACAACACAAGTATACTTCTAGATTTATACCCAAATGAAATTGTCATACGTTGCATAATGAGAAGACAACAATGTTTACAGCAGTATTAACTAATTATAAAAGTAGAAGCAAGCTAAATGCCCAGTAGGAGAGTGGACACACAGTGATTTATTTCTGTAATTGGTATGAGCTTTTAAAATATGTGGAACAATACCACATATTTTTATAGCTATGTAAGTATGAAAATATTATACATGAATTAAATAAGTGAAATTAATAATAATTAGATCCCCTTACTCTTCATTGAAATATTTCAGGAAAAGATAATTCCATATTCACAAATTTTTTAGGAGTGTTACCTGGAATATTGACTATAGGAGAATATTGTATTGCTTTTAATAAAAGTAAATCATTTTTTGAAAGTTAAAAAAGTTATACAGTTGACATGGGAATTGAATCAAATTTTAAAATTTAAATAAATGTGTAAATAGGCCAGGCACAATGGCTCATGCTTGTAATCCCAGCACTTTGGGAGGCTGAGGCAGGTGGATCACTTGAGTTCAAGAGTTCAAGACCAGCTTGGGCAACATGGCGAAACCTTGTCTCTACTAAAAATACAAAAAATTAGCTGGGCATGGTGATGCATGCCCAGTAGTCCCAGCTATTCAGGAGGCTGAGGCATAAGAATCCCTTGAATCTAGGGGGTGGAGGCTGCAGTGAAAGCCATCATCATGCCACTGAACTCCAGCCTGGGCGACAGAGTGAGACTCTGTCTAAAAAAAGAAACCAAACAAAAAAAAGTGTCATTAGATGGTTTTATTTAAGAAATCTAAATTAAATGTTAAAAGTCACCATAACCCTTGAATACTCAATGTGAGAAACTCGTTAACGGGTGATGCTTCAGAAAAATATTCACTTATGAATATACAAAAGAGGCCAGTCACAAAGAAATTGTGGCCGATGCTTGCAATCCCAGCACTTTGGAAGGCCAAGGCAGGAAGATTATTTGAGCCTGGGAGTTCAAGACCAGCCTAGACAACATGGTGAGACCCTGTCTCTATTTTTTAAATTAAAAATATATTTAAAAAATAAATATACAAAAGAAGGCATTGGTGTATATAAGTAGTGTTTTAGTCCACTTTTATCAGTGGCCTTTTCATGATAATAGCGTTCTGGGGATTTCATTTCTGTTGGGGTCTTTAGGAGCTCTAATAAATAGCATCACTTTTCCCTGCTGGCATGCTGAACCAATTCAGAAATAAAAGTGTCAGTGTGGGGACTCTGAACAGCCTCTTTACCATAGTGAAGGCTAGAATAGAGCAGCATAGAGAGATGATCTAATTAGTGTTGTCAACTCCTCCTTACCCACCAGTTCCACCTCTCACTTCAGTCTAGAACAGTCCATCTTACTCCAGGGAAAGCTCGTGTCTGCAGGGCAGACTGGCCTACCTAGTCCCACTTCCTACAGAGGGAGGGAAAAAGAAACCAAACTCCCGCCATCCAGGTAATTTGCCCTGCCTCCCTGGGTAGGATATAGGGATAGGGTATCTAGGCCACTTACTTAATAAAAGATGTAAGTAAAAGATCCCTTCTAATGCAATCTGGAGTGAAAGAAAAGTAGTTTATGCCCTTCTCCTAACATTGCAATTTGTCAGATTCATGTTATGAATATTTCCCAAAAACTTGTTGAACAGTTAACTTCAATATTTATCTGTATTTACAGTAGAAAAGTGCTATGATCTATGATTTATCTTTAACTCTTGATTTTTTAAAACAAAATTGTCTTCAAGAGCATTTATTATAGCCTTATATAATACTGTTTGTTTAGATTAAAAGAAAAGCAGACAGTAAATACTTCAGACATACATGATTATTTTACTGATATTTCTACTACGTCATAGTTCTACAAGCCTAGTTACTTTCTCATTGCCTGCCATGGGCAAAAATTATACTGGATGAAACTGAGCCAGTGACCTTCCTTTGGAAGACCTCTGTCTAGAGGAAGAGGGAAGTCATTAAAGCATTACTGCTCACCACCACAGAGTGTGAGCAGAGGGTTTGGGTTATATAAGTGATGGGAAACTAATGAGAACTGATGATACATTTAAGAAAACATTGCTTCTATGTTAAAATACATGCATGAATACTTTGTAAAGTTTTGAACTGCAAATCCTATTTCATTACCAATTTTCCTCCATTCTCACAGAAGAGCTGAACCAGTCACTTCAAATAAACTAAAATTACTTAGTCAAAATGTAATTAAGCTATATTTTGTAAGTTGTTTTCTCTTACTTTTATGCCATCAAGGTATTTGGTGGGGAGGGGAATATATAACATAACTTTTTTTTATTAATCCCTTTGAAATGAAGGGTGGGGGTGCATACTGCTCCCTCAGAGTTAATAGCTAGGAAGTTAATATTAGATGTCTTAAATGGAAATTCAAAGGTAATCTTTGTTCAGGCACTCAAATTTTATTTTAATTGTAGAGTCACATATGAGTAACTAGAGCCCAAAATGGGAACACTGTGTGAGTGTGTAAGGCACCTTATGAGTGGGAAGAACGTACATTTAGAGCCAAACCAACCTGGGTTTAATCCTTGCCACCAAATAATAGAGTCATCTCTGCCCACAAAAAAACACAATACCTACTTCATTAGGTTTTTCAGGAGATTGATGCTTAAAATCTAAGTTCACAATCTAAAGGAAATTTTCAAACAAGAGTGGGTCAAGTGTGTTTAGGAAATAACCTAGTACCATTTAGCTATAAAATTTGAGTGGGGGGTTGCTAATAGTGCTTCCTTTGATAGTACAGTTGATGTCTGCCTTTCTGAAAATGCAGATATTGTTAAGAGGTGAAATCATAATACAACTGTGTAGAACAGTGGGCTGTTGTGTAAATAAATAATATGACATCCGGGAAGAGGCTAAGAGTATAGATAAAGGCATTTTTATATGTTACAGCAAAAGTAGGATGTATATATCTTACAATTAAAAACAGGTTTTTTAAATGTACAGAAAAACAAACTCACCAATTAATCACATGCATTATTGAAATAATAGAATTATGAGTGATTATTTTATTCCCCCTGTCCAGTACCGTGAGATTGCTTTTATGATGAGAAAAATGTGAGATAGTTATGCCTTGTGAAACAAAAAGTTTCTTCATTGACAAAACACAAAGTGAGTTTCTTAATGCATGGTTCCGTTATTAAGACAAGCAAAGAAATAGATCATTAGTCTAACTATTTAGTAATCAGCCATTTATCTATTATGGTTTTCTGTCATCTGTCATTATTCAGTGTACCATGTTATCTGTGGAAAATAGAAAACTGCAAATTAATATATCTTTTTAAAAGCAGTGTTTTTGTGTTAATGTTACAGATTTATTTGAGGTTTCTAGATTATCAAATGGAACACTCAAATGAATGCAAGAGAAACTTCGTTGCAGTCTATGATGGAAGCAGTTCTATTGAAAACCTGAAGGCCAAGTTTTGCAGCACCGTAGCCAATGATGTAATGCTTAAAACAGGAATTGGAGTGATTCGAATGTGGGCAGATGAAGGTAGTCGGCTTAGCAGGTTTCGAATGCTCTTTACTTCCTTTGTGGAGCGTAAGTAAAAAATTCCTTTAGTATTGAAATCTTTTGTGTATTTTTCACTTAATCACAATGTACTCAGCATTGACTCTAAAAAATATTTCAGGATGTATTTTCTTTTTGTTTTACTACAGCTCTTTTTAATACAAGAATATTTTTTACATTTAAAATGTATTTAATTTTATTTACTTTTTAGAGGTGGGACCTTAATTTGTTGCCCAGGCTGGCTTTAAACTCCTGGGCTCAAGCGATCCTCTGCTTCACCCTCCCAAGTAGCTGGGACTACAGGCACATGGCACCATACCAGGCAGCATTTACTTTTGACAAAAATGTGCAAGTCACAAAGAAGGTAGAAGCAGCTATATCTTCGTCCCTGTTCTCTTGGAATGGACTGTCATGAGTGGAAAAACCATGTTAACATATCAATTGGAAAACTCATTATAAAGGTATAAACAAATGATAAAGATCGCAGACAGTGAGGACTTAACACTTTCAAGATTTTCTAACTTAACAGTAGTATTAATTTAGCTTGGTGAATAGTTATGAATCCACCAAACTGTGGTCATCAAAGATTTAAATACACCATAGATCTTTTTCTTTTTAAATAACATTAAACTTAAAGAACATTGTAAAACTGATAGAGTTGCCTATGTGCCGTTCACTCAGATTCTCCTAATGCCAACATCTCTCAAAGCCAGAGTAAAACTGAAAATTAACACAGATACAGTATTATTAACTAATCTGTAGACCTGATTCTGGTATCTCTAGTTTTGCCAGGAAAGTCCTTTTATGATTCAGTTTCCCACATTGCTTTTAGTTGTCAAGTATCCTTTTCTCCATCTGTGACAGTTACTCTGGCTGCGTTTTTCCTTGGCACATTGCCAAGAGTACTAGCCAGTTTAGTAGAATGTCCATCAGTTTGGGTTTGTCTGATGTTTCTTAGGGATTTCTGTTGAACCTATGTATTTCTGTCAGGAATACTACAGAAACTATGTTGTGCCCTTCTAAATACATCGTGTCAGTGAAGCAGGGGTACATGGTATCATTATTATTATTTTTTTTTAGGGAGCAGTACTTTTATTTTTACACACTTTGGCAAGGAGGTTTTCCATAAACAACCTTTCCAGTGGAGAAGAGAGAACATGAAAATTGGCCTCCAGATATCAGTAGCTGTGTCTGCTCAGGGCCGAGGCTCCCGCTTGCCCACGTGTTGAGGTGGAGGGGTGTACTTCCCTTCTTTCATCAGTTTTTCCCATTGCCTCCAGATGGTATCCATACGTTTCATTGTTTTTTTCCGAAGTAAACACTCTACAAAATCATCATATTCTATCTTGCACTCTTTCTCTGCCCAGATAGTACCGATTCCATGTGCACATTCTATCCATTCTTTTTCAAAAGCATGGCATCGAGCAGGAAACTTGTAGGGCTATTCAGCACTTTGGATTGTCCACCACCAATCTAGGTTAATACCAAACCTTTTCTGCACATCCAAGAAAGCACGGCTATCAGATGCTCGTGCCCTTGTCTCTTCTCTGGCCTCTGTTTCAGGACAACTCTTTTTTCTTTTTTTTTTTTTTAACATATTCTGCTTGTGTAGATTGTATCATTTTGTCTTACTGCTTGTGATACTTTGATTTTTGTTAAGGTGCTGTCTGCCAGTTTCCTTCACTAAAAAGTTGCTATTTTTTTCCTTTCTAATTAATAAGTCTCTGATACTATGCAGATATCTTCTCACTCACTAATTTTAGCATCCATTGATGGCTTCTGCCTGTAACAGTTACTGCTGTAGGGTTTACCTAATCATGATTTTTCCACTTCGATCATTCCTTCTGTATACATTCATTAGAATTCTGCTGTGAGAAAAACTATTTCTTTTTCTTCACTTAGTTATTAATAATTACATCAGTATGGACTCATGGATATTTATTTTATTCTATTGTTATAATATTAATATTATTATTATGACCAGGCATCGTGGCTCACTCCTGTAATCTCAGCACTTTGAGAAGCTGAGGCAGCGGATCACTTGAGGTCAGGAGTTTGAGACCAGCCTGGGCAACATGGTAAAACTCCTGTCTCTACTAAAATACAAAAATTAGCTGGGCTTGGTGGCAGGTGCCTGTAGTCCCAGCTACTAAGGAGGCTAAGGTAGGAAAATCGCCTGAGCCCAAGATGTCAATGCTGCAGTGAGCTGAGATCACATTACTGCCCTCCAGCCTGGGCAACCAGAGTAAGACTGTCTAAAAAATAAAAATTAAATTTACCAATAAAAAAAAATTCTGTGTTACATTATTTTGTTGCTCAAAGCCTGAGCTTCAGCCGTTGGGAACTCCTTCAGTTTGCTTCCTTTGTCCTCTCGACATACCCAATTAATAGGTTTTTAATCATTTTTTATGTTACGGCAGTGCTGGATGAACCATGCTCAACTTTTGTTTTCCCTGCCCCAGCCCTAGACCATCCGTATTTCCAAGGAGCCTTTTCTTCATTTCTTCATCTTACAGCGAGAAACCTAATTATCCGAAATGGATTAATTTGTTTATCCTAATATGCACAAAAAGTAACTTCACAATCACTAATCCATATCCCTGTGAGAAATTTCCTAACAAAACTAAGTACTTATGTACAGTTCTTTTTGTCTTTATCTTTACTGTCAAAATACTGTTTTCCAGTTACTCAGGCTATTGGTTTATATTTCATTTTGTGCTCCCCCCACGTTGTGGTTACTGTAAATTGTTTTTATGTGGGGGTTCTGGGAATATGACTGTTGTTCCTAGAGAGCCCACATCCCAAGAGGGACACTTAGAAGTGTCCTTGCCGCCTTCATTCTCTGCCTTCCATTTCTGCCCTCTATTGGGATGTCTTTTTGCACAAATGAGCAGATACACCTGTATTTTCTTATGTGCCATTTTTTTCTTATGTGAAGGACAGCATTATTCTTTTACACTTTATGTTTTTAACTTAAAAGTGTATCCTGATCAGGTGCAGTGGCTCACACCTGTAATCCCAGCACTTTGGGAGGCCAAGGCGGGCAGATCACTTGAGGTCAGGAGTTTGAGACCAGCCTGGGCAACATGGAGAAACCCTGTCTCTGCTAAAAATACAAAAATTAGCTGGGCATGGTGGCACGAGCCTATAATTCCAGCTACTAGGGAGTTTAAGGCATGAAAATTGCTTGAAACCAGGAGGTGGAGTCTGCAATGAGCCAAGATCAGGCCACTGCACTCTCCAGCCTGTGTGACAGAATGAGACCCTGTCTCAAAAAAAAAAAAAATGTATATCCTGGAAACCATTCCGTATCAATTCATACAGCGCATCCTTATTTTATAGCTACATAATAGAGCATTGTATATACCAACTTTATTTCATCTTCTACTTACGAGCATATAGGTTATTCCCAATATTTGCAATTATAAATAAGCTACAGTGAATAATGTTATGTGTCTATCTTTTCATATTGTTGGAGACATATCATCAGGATAAATTCCTAGAAGTGGGATTGTTTGGTTTAAAAAGTTGTGTAGTTTAGTTAGATATTGCCAAATACCCTTCCAGGAAAGTTGTAGCTTTTTTTTTTTTCAACTCTGGCAAAATATACATGGCGTAAAATTTACCTTCAATCACTTTTACGTGTACAAATCGGTGGCGTTAAGTACATTCACATTGTTGTGCAGCCATCACCACTGTCTTTGTCTGGAGCACTTTTAGCATCCTGAACTAAGACGCTATACCTATGAAACAATTCCTTCCCTTTTTTTTTTTTTTTCCCCACCCTGGTAACCTCTATTCTACTTTCTATCTCTATGATTTCCATATTCTAGGTAAATATATAAATAGAATCATATAATATTTGTCCTTTTATGTCTGGTTTATTTCACTTGGAATAATCATTTCAGGGTTCATACATGTTGTATGTATCTGAATTTCTTTTTTAAGGCTGAATAATATTCCATATATAAATGCTACATTTTCTTTATAAATTCATTCATCTGTTGATGGACACTTAACTGTTTCTACCTTTGGGCAATGATGATTAATGCTGCTGTGTAGAATTGCTGGATCATATGGCAAATCTGTGTTAAAGTTTTTGAGGAACCAACAAACTTTTCCACAGTGACTGCACCATTTTACACACCAACCAGCAATGCACAGAGGGTTCCAGTTTCTTCACATCTTCACCAATACCTGTTATTTTTCGTATTTTTAGATAATAGGTATCCTAATGTGTGTAAAGTGGCATCTCATTGTGGTTTCGATTTGCCTAATTATAATGTTGAGCATTTTTCCATGGGCTTCTCGACTATTCGTATATCTTCTTTGCAGAAAGGTCTCTTCATGTCCTTTGCCCACTTTTGAATTTTTTTTTAAGTTGTAGACATTCTCTGCATATTCTGGATATGAATCGCTTATTGTGTATGTGATTAGCAGACTTTTTTGCATTCTGTTTGTTGTCTTTTCACTCCCTTGATATAAAGGTTTTTAATTTTGATGAAGCCCAATTTAATGTGTTTGTTGTTGTTGTTGCCTTTGCTTTTGGTGTGATATCCAAGAAATCATTGACAAAACCAATGTCATGAAGCTTTTCTCATGTGTTCTCTTCTAAGAGTTTTATAGTTTTAGGTCTTGTAATATATTTAGGTCTTTGATCTATTTGGAGTTAATTTTTCTATACAGTGTAAGGTAAGATTCCAACTTCATTGTTTTTCATGTGAATATCCAGCTAGCAGTCTATCT